GTGTTACCAAAAATAACGTTCTCAACCGTAACGTTCTCAATCGTATTTTACCGGTTAAAATAATAACATTTAGAAAATAAACCATTTATCATTTATGATAAATATATATAAACTGCAGTTGTTTTAAAAATAATGAACGTGATTGATTTCACTATAAAAAAAAAAAATATAGAAAAATAGTTATAAAATTACTTTTTTATTACAATAATTGTTATTAATGAAATTACATTACTTCTATAGTTTTATCAAAGAAATGCAGTCTGTGTACAAGACAACGTGCAACGCGTTGATTTTTCAACTCGTTCTCTAAATTTATATATTTATTGGAATATTACAATCTAATGGTATTTATAATAAGCATATTATCTGCATGGTACATCCTACAAATACCTGAATATATGAGAAGAAAAGTTACCCAGTAGTACCACTTATAGAATACAAGATACGAAAATTAAATTAAAAGCAATTTTTTTCAAACACAACAATTTGGTTTATTTTACAAATACATCTTTAATTGCATGTAATTTATAAAAAACTAAAATAAATAAATAAGACATCAAATAAAATATTTTAGTATAATTCTATAATATATTATTTTTATTTTTATGATCAAATGATAAATCAACACAATCTTAGCAATCGGAAATCAACTTTTGATGCATTTCATTATACTACTCGAAATGAAATAAAATTCATAAAAACCATCGATCTATACTTTAATTCACGAATGGCTGATAAAAGCATTTTTTTTTTTATTATTTAATAATATTTAATTATAGTATTTAAATGTGATATGTCTTGGTGGAATGGGACAATTTTAAATAAATCTGTACAATTTGCCAAACACGAATCGTGCTGTATGGTTGTAATGTAAATTCAATATTTTGTAAGATGTGTACATTTTTTTAAATATAAAACGAAACTCATTTATTTTAGTTTACTATCAAATATCATTTATATTTTTTGAGTTAGAAAGTGTAAATATTTATAGGACGTAGCATTCAAAGTAGGTAGCGAAATTTGCGTTATTCACAATGGAAAATTGTATTGTCACTCTTGTTAACTCTTGTTCACTCTTGTAAACCTGATAGCATCACTTCAAAAGAAGGTGTGTAGTATCTACTGTAGCTTATCCTACTGATGTCGGCGATTCGAAAAACTCGATAGTTCGAAAAACTAAAAGCTATTAATATAAATGATGTTTTATGAATCACATAAAATGTCTTTTAAAAATTAATTTCATTAAAAATTACATTATTCGTACTAGATTTTAACTTAATTATACCATCATCGCTCGCTACGTTACTTATAACATTAATTAATACTGAAATCAAGCGTACAGTGCATTATGTACATAATATATTTACTTGAACCACATTGTAATTTATGGAGAGTGACATAGTGTATATATAAAATACAAAAAATTTTTATTTATAAAATGTATTGGAATCGAATGTATATATGTAAGTATGTATGTATGTATGTATGTATATATGTATGCAATATGCGTGTACTGCGTATATAGCCGTGTATGACGAACGCGTGTTGTAAAAAAGTTGTACATAATATATATATAAGGATTTATGTCTCGTTGCACATAGTTTCTGTTACTTTGATAGACGCATAATAAAATCGTATTACACTAAACATCAGCAATATTGTTGATTGTAAATACCTTATACGTACAAGTTCATATAATTTAATATATTTAGTATGGTATATTATAGGTACAAAATATAACATTCTGTGATAATTTTATGTTTTTGCGTTTATAATATTTTAGATTCTGAGCGGAGTGATTTTTTTTTATTTTCGTTATTAATAAAGTATTTTTTTGGTACCTAACAGCTAGTATATTTTGAAAAATATACGTATATTTTTATTTCAAAAATAACAAATTCAAACCAGTCCATAATGATCTGTCTTTCCTAACYTGTCAGAATGTTTTTGTAGGTTACTTATGCGTTTTCTTTACTTTTTTTATTTTCCTTAAAAATCCAAATATATAATTATATATCAGAGTTTTAAGATGAACAGTTGAGATTACGTTGTAGATGTTTTGAAATATTTCTAAGTAATTTATACAAAAATAAAATTGTAAATRAGTGACGGAATTTTTAAGACTACTGGCTAATTACAATATTCGCTTTGTTATGTAATCCTTATTGCCTTAACACACAGAATTCTGACTAAATCTACAACACAATGAAAACCCCAAAACAATATATACATACGTTACACAATAGTTATTCAGTCATTCATCCGTTCACGTGATTGAATTTGTAATTGTCAACGAATTATTTGATATCCTTCGATTCTTGAAGCTGCCCTTGATTATTTTTGGTAGGCAAGAGGTTTTCCACATTATTGATAGTTTAATAATTGATTTTTTTTTTCCAGATTGTGATGTCAAATGTGTAAACTGAGAGATTATAAGATTTAAAATGTCTGAACAAAACAAATATATAACTAAAATAAAAGATTGTGTAGAATAATATAGTTWATTAAAAGTATAATACATAATATACGACATATTATGTATAATATATATAAAATTTGGTTTCATTTAATCATTAGGTTCAGACTTCTCCTCCCATATTTATTGTTATTTTCGTACATATTAAAAGCGATTTTTAAACTTTGCCATTAAATAAATACTAATGCCAACCATTTCGATTTCGATAAATTCACATTATAGTAATTTATATATGTAAGTACTTTATCGAATGATCCGTTACATTTATGGTGGACGAAGTTTATAGGTTTTATTTCAAACATACATATATAAACCAATAGGGGTTCAAACATTTAAGTGTCTATAAAATAAATCGTTTAAGCCCGTGTACAGCATAATAYAGGATAAAATATGTAAAAGTAGTACAACCATGCAGTATATAATGATAAATAATGCTATTGTACACTATTACTGTTTAAAAAGCATTCGGTGCCGTGGATTTTCAGCGTTTTAAGTGTTTGGCAATACAACACGAATATAATTATAATATTATGCTACATAGTTGGCATGTCATTACCAAATCTGTAATAGGTAGTGTAATATAGGGAAATGTGGAGGTCGTTT